AAAATTCAGAGACTGCCAGTCAGTGGATGTATATGCCTTTAATCCCAGCACTTGGGAGGCAGAGACAGGCGGATCTCTGTGAGTTCAAGGCCAGCCTGATCTACAGAGTGAGTTCCAGGACAGGCTCCAAAAACAACTGTCTCGAAAAACAAACAAGCAAACAACAACAACAAATCAGAGACTTAGATCTGTTTAAAAGAAAAAAAATATTCTGCTGTAAATGGCATACCTTAGATTCAAAGGCCTGAATAGGTTTGAAGTGAAGTGAATGATTTTAAAATGGCAGGGAGATGTGGGGTGCGGGTAGACGAGATGGCTCAGCAAGTGAAGGCACTTGCTACTAAGCCTGAGAAAGGAGTATAATCCGGGGATTCACACTGTGGAAGGAGAGAACTGATCCCCTCAACTTACTCTCTGACCTCCATACATGGGCCCCATGAAAAATAAGTATAATTTTTTAATGTGAGGGGGCTGGAGAGATGACTCGGTGATAAGCGCACTGGCTGGTTGGTCTCCCAAAGGATCCAGTTCAATTCCCGGCTCTCACATTGCAGCCCACAACCATCTCTAACTCCAGTTCCATGACATCCCATGCCCTCTTGGGCCTCCATGGGCATCAGACACACAAGTGGTACATAGATATGCTTACAGGCAAAACGCCCGTACACATAAAATTGAAAAACAAATTAAAGGTCTGTCAGGGGTCATGTGACATGGCTCAGTTGGTAACAGCACTTGCCACTGAGCCTAACAACCTGAGTTTGACCCCTGGGACCCACATGGTGGAACTAATTCTCCCAAATTGTCCCTGTGGTCTCCACAGCAAGCCACACACCATGGCATGAGGCAACAAAGTTGACACCCTAGCTATGCAGGAGGCTGGGCAAGAGGATCACAGATTTAAGGACAGCTGAGGTAAGATAATGAGACCTCCTCCAAATAAAAATTAACATGATTCTAGAGACCATAAAAGACATTTTATACTGAAAACAGTCGATCAGGAAGTTATTAAAAGTGCCAACATACATGTATCTAACAAATGAGCCTTAAATACGTGAAACAAAAACTTAACGAGTTCGTGGGAAATAGATGAGTCAGCCCAGGCTGAGGGGGCACATGCCTATGATCCTAGCGCAGGCAGGAGGATCTTTGGAGAAGAATAATCAGTAAGAGACTATACAGAATCCATTAGATAAGTCGACAGATAGATGATAGACAGGGTGTGTGCCTTTTATGGAATGTAAATTATACCTCAATAAAGATGTATTTAAATTTTTTGATTATTATCATTTTATGTGTATGAGGTTTTTGTCTGAATATGTGTGTGTGCCATGTACATGCAGTGCCTAAGGAAGCCAAAAGAAGACTGTTCCCACGGCACCAGAGCTGCCATGTTGGTGCTGGGAATGGAACCCAGGTCCTCTGGAAGAATACCTAGTGCTCTTAACCACTGAGCCATCTCTTCAGTTGCCAGCAGAGCAGTGTTTTTGTAAAGAGTTAAGTCCCATTTCTAAGTATTACAAAGTACACTTACATAATTTTTTCTTTTGTCTCTTCCTTTCTTCAAAAAGTGACACAGTGATTTGACACAGAGTGTTGACATTGCCATCGATGTTTTTTAGTGTTTCCGGCATGATTTCCATTTCTGCGACCCAGTGGTAGTAATCCTCAATATCAATCTCGGCCACCTCAGACAGAATGAAATCTTGAAGAGAGAAAGAAAACCATCTTACAGAAGAAACAACACAGTTATATCCATAGGGGCTTCTGGTATATACAACATGATTCCATTGGGGAATAGAGATATCTTGTGCTGCCCTGAGGCTTTTCTCTGTTAAGTAATTATACAGGAAGAGAACTGGAAGACCATAGAAGCCCTAATGTTAAATCAGCAAGTTAAGAGAATATCAGCCAGGTTAAAGCCCAGGGTTTGTTTCCCCCATTTGGCCCAGTCTTGTCTTCTTCATCTGGTTTAACTTCTTCCTCTGTCATTAACTTTCTTCCTTCCCTCGGAAACTATTAGACACTTACTCCATTCTTCCAGCCAGGACAACAGTTTGATGAGGATCCTTTCTCTCATATCAATCGTATTAATATATTCAGCTATCTTCTCTAAGAAAATCTTTCTCTTCTTTCTCTGGTTTGCTGTGAAGGAGCCCTTCCTCCCAGGGGATGAGCTGTCAATTGTGTAACGAGTCATTATCAGCTCCACTTTGTTCATTATTTGAATCAGCCGTGTAAGAATATCCTATAAAAAGGAGGAATAATAATTAGTTTGTGTGGTGGTTTGAATAAAAGGGTCCCCATAGGTCCATAAGGAGAGGCAGTGTAGAAGATGTGGCCTTGTTAGAGTAGGTGTGGCTTTGTTGGAGGAAGAGCATCACTAGGGAGCGGGCTTTGAGGCCTCAGAAGCTCAAGCCAGGCCTAGTATGTCTCTGTCTCTTCCTACTTCCTGTGAATTCAGAGGCAGAACTCTCAGGGGCCTCTCCAGCACCAAGTCTGCCTGTGCCACCATACTTCCTGCCATGATGACAATGAAATAAATCTCTGCACCCAACTAAACGTTTTCCTTTATAAGAGTTGCTGTGGTCATCCTGTCTCGTCACAGCAATAGAAACCCTAACAAAGAAAGAAGTTGGTACCAGGGACTCAGCTATTGCTGTGATAGGCCTGGTTATACTTTTATTTAGAGGAATGTAGATGGGGGCTTGGAACTAGAAAAGCAGTTGAACACTTTAAGTAGGTTTGATGGGCCATACTAGTGGGAGCATGGAAGACAGTGGTGCTGCGGGTGATTTGAACTGTGGGGGTCTAGTTCAAGAGATTTCAGAGAAGAATTTTGGTATGTTTCCTAGAGCTTGTTCTTATGATATTTTGGTGAAGAATGTGGTTGGTTTTTGCTCTTATCCAAAGCGTTTACCTGAGGCTAAAGGGAAGAGATTTGGACTAATTCCACTAGCAGAGGAATTCTTTTGTTTTGATTTGTTTTCTCACACTCAATTTAAAAATCTTTTTTTTTTTTTTTTTTTTTT